GCTGCCGCTGCCGCCGCCGCCGCCGCCGCGCCGCCCCTTGGCGCCGCCGTTCCTCAGTTTGCTGTGGACGGACGAGCGCGTCTCCGTGAAGTTGCTGAGGTCGCCGCCGGGCGAGGCGCTGGCCGCGGCGCGCCCGCGCTTGCCGCGCCCCTTGGGCAGACGCGCGTCCAAGTCGCTGGTCGGGGAGTCGCAGAACCTGTGGAACATCCAAGGGGCTCGTCAGCCGACCAACCACACCGCGCAGCCACCGCTCGTGAACGGTTCCGGGGCTTTCAGAAGGCCGCCCTTTACAATAGCTGTGTGAATGGTAATAACCGGTCAAAGTTTTCGATAGATATTTACGATTTTCCACTAGCGATGGATTACATGAAGGTCACCCAAAAATTGCTGTTCCAAACAACAACGATGCTGTAAGCAACGTGATTAAAACTTACAGCGAAATACAGGCATCTTTAGGCACACCGAAGGCTGCTGTATTTATCGATTTCGCACGAATGTCTTCCTAATAATACCGCGTAATTTTGCCCAGATAAAAAACCAACTTGTTAGGAGGCAAGGAAATGATACAATAATCTAAGGAAGACAAGGAAAAACCGCATACTACATGGTATCAGGAGATGGAACTTTATCGTCTTCGTACGAGTGAGAAATAAATAAACTATCAATATTTGGATATTCCAAGATAAACTGATCCTAACAAAAGTGGTTTGTTCATGAAACATTTCCAAGAAAATGATCTCTCGTTTCTTTGTTTATACTCGACATATCGCGACCATCGATTTAGAGCAGCGAAGTCAATGCTGATTTTCAATACACATCACATTGAAGTCACTTGAATTTGAAGTGTTGCACTGTCCAATGCCAACTTTTATATAGCAGGACGACTGTTTATGTGGGAGTATCGAATTAATGAACCATTGCCCGTTCATGATTTGTGGGCAAAGTATGTTTTATTCTCGAATACAAAACAAACTAATGGTGCAACAGAATGGCACAGACTTTCCTGTATTAGTTTTCTATTTCCTTCGGTCTCGGCTAGCTATTCGGATTTTCCACATACCCTTGCCAGCTGCCATCTATCGCCGCCCAAAATACATTTTTCGACACTGTCTTAATTTTTCTGTTTCCTAATAGTAGAACGGAATAACTATTTTAGGAATAATAAAGAAAAATTAAAACCTCATAAATGACAATTTTCTTTGGAAAAAAGTGGTGACATTTTTAAGAAAATGGCGTTTAAGCGCTAATGTAAACTCCAAACTCTTTTTCACACAACGATTTTCACTTTTCGAAAAACTTCATTAAACGTCTTTTGACGCACTTTAACTAACAAATGCAACAGACTGTTTTCATAGAAAACAGTTGAGTTATGGAGAAACTTTATGACATTTAAAACACATGTACTCGTAAATATAATGTGAACAAATAGCCGCTAATGTAAATATAAACAAAGGGGGGGGACAAGTCAAAAAGATTACATATTTGTAAGTTTTGAAGAAACAAAAGAATAGAGCAATTTGGCATTCATGTCATCTTATAAAGTGCAATTAGCACTATCCCTACCGAAACTTGGAAAGGAAGGAAAAATTGGAGCCAATTTTTGAGAAAATCATATTTTTGTTATTTTTTTAAAATATTGAACATATTGCTTGTATATTACTCTGTACATACGTACATATTCGGGAAAGTAAAAATGCGTAAGCAGGGATCGTCATCACCTCAAAAGCTGTCGAATCCTTCCAAACCACCTTTTGGGATAAAACAACCCAGCGGAAAAAATGTTTCGAGTTGGTTCGAACGGAAGCAAGAGTCTAAATCCCACAGGCGAATATTTCTTTCAATGATTTGTGCCAAGAACTTTGGAGTCCCTTTTTGCAAGACTGCATAGTTAAACATTCGCAACTGCTCTCGCGTTTTCCATCGCCCGATCGGCAGTGATGTTGCAGACATTTGAATAATGCTATTAAAACATCCCTCCAAACAAATGAACTGAAACTCGATACCCCGACGCCAGTAACGAAATTATTTTTGTTTCCCAAACGCATTACACGTGATATCGTGTAATTATTTTCCTCATTCATTGCGACACAGTTTAAGCCCCTCTCAGGAGGCCAGAACGCACCTCGGGGGCGCCCAGTCGTGGCGGGTGCAGTCCAGCAGCGTCCCCACGTACGTCTTGCCTCGCCACGTCACGTTCACCACCAGCACTCCTGCGGCACAGAGCAGAACAGAGCGCGCGGTTGACAAAACATTCATTGCGGCTGCTAAGGCGGAATGGAACCGCATCCTCTTATATAGTGGCACCGACTACCATGAAAGCAAAATTGAAACGTATCCAACAAAAGCATCGATAGCACAATCCAACCGCAAGAAATGTATCGTCCACACGAACAGTACTTTCATGATTTATATAATTAAATTTTAAAAAATACATAAAAAAAGAATCTAACTAAAGCATAGTTTCCGAAATCGAACATTTAAAGTAGCTATCTTGTACATTTTTTCTACATACTAAGATTATGATGATTAAGAAGAACTGTAGAAACTTGTAAGGATGATAAAAATCGAGGTTAAAAAAATTACGTCGGTAAGAAGTGAAACCTTCAAGAACAATAGGGAGATTGTGCCACCTCAAACGTTAAAGCACTATCGACTTTCTGCGCATATGCAGTTCAAGTTTCGCATCACTTTAGTGCAACCGCACATGCGCAGAAAATCGATAGCGCTCCTGCTATGGCGTGCAAGAACTCCCTTACTTCTGCAATAGCACTCTCACTAAACCAGAGTTTGTATTACTCTCTAAATGAATCCCAGACTAATGTTACTTTTTATAAGATATCAAAAATAATTTTTAAAAAGTACAATGTACTCAGATTTCATCAGACAATAATACGTAAAAAACCCTCCGAGGTAATCATGAGATTCAATTCCGGCCTTATGGTAGAGAGGTACTTGTGCTCGATGGTTGTGCCAGCCTTCGTCTGCGCATGCGCCACTCGAAATCGAAATCGTGTTAGCGGGATCCGCCAGGCCCCCTATTTAGCCGGATTTCGTGAGCGACTTATATGGCATGATAATCGATCATTCGGCCATTTTGTATGGAATTTGTTCCCGTGTGTGGCGGTAGAGTGTGACGCTAACTGTATTTCCATGGTGCGATTATTGCTGTGTTTTCGTGTTTCTCAACTGATTTGATTAAAGTTTGATTAATACTACATGAGTGCCATCTACTAACCTCACAGTTTCAATTGCCCGAAATCATCGCCAATTGTAATTTATTCGATACGTATTAAAGGCTTCACAAGAAATAGGCAACGTATCAAAGTAAAAGTCTGTAAATGCGTAGTGAATTCATTGGTTAGGTCAAAGTTAATTACCACTACAAAAGAAGAAATAAAATATAATACATAAATAAAGAAGTTATATCACTTCTAGCTAATGGATCAAATGATATAAATAGGTATTCTTAGAAATATTTTTTTTACTATAGTTAACTGTATTTCTTCACTTGCTTACAAATTTATCACGCCACTGATATTAATTTATCAGTAAATCTGAATACTGAAGAGGACTCCGCAATTTACATCCATACAGATACTCTAAATTAAGGTTTGTTAATCCTAGATCACTAATTTTGAAGGCTACCATTAGTGCAATGGCATTTTGAATCCTGTATTCAATGAAAGTGTGTCTAGTCATACAAGATTGTGTGCATATTAACATATGTAGTTGGTCAGAGTATCATTACAGTATGTCAAGGAGTAGGTAATGCCAATTAAGTTGGCGTATTGTGTGAAGAAAATATTATATGATTCTACAATATTACGGAAATAGCGAATACTTTGGTTAATAAAATGAATTAGGGAAGAAAAATATATGTTTACCTCATATTCATTCTGTTTTTGTTGCAGAATACATTACATTTTTAAATCCACTTATGAATTGAATATGAATTCATATCTGTTTTACATATTTTAAATAACAATGCTGGTGTTAATATGTAAGTATGCGAGATATGGGTGAAAATGTTAATACTATATTCATTTATTTTCAAATGTTATATACACAAGAAATGAAAATTTTCAAAGGTCCCCAAATGAATCACTACCACAACAGCGCAGAACTGCTGATGACCAATTTCACTGTAACAGCCCCCTTCTGTCGCCACAATCCGTGCAAGAGCTCTTCCTCCGCCTAATCCATGCAAACGAATCGAAAGAAGAGCCCCGCCCGGCAGATAACCCGGAGACTCACCGCCTTCCGTCTCGTGCCACACGATGCCCTCCAGCGTGACGCTCGTGCCCGGCTCGCAGGGCCCCAGGCAGTCGGGCTCCGTGATGGTGCCCACGCTCGTGCCCACACACACGTCCAGCATGTCCTGCGCACACAAGCACAAGCACGCGCCTCCGTTACACATCGCCACTCACACTGAAAGTCCCCCCTGCTTTAATACTGCGGCACACACTGCTGCAACCAACAATAAAGCTACGGGCTACAACAGCACGTACTTTCTAGTATAATTGTTAACACTAACCTAATACGCTATTACACCTTCTATCCTACTCGTACGAACACCAGCAATCGTTTGAAAACACAAACGATGCAACTCAAACATGAAACAACGCTACAGACATTTTGAAAACACTGTATGAAATTGTTTTACGTTCTAATATGATCTAAAGGATAACAATCTCTAGCTTCAATATTGAAAGTGTACAGAAGATTCAAACAAAACTTTTCCTAATTTTAGAAATTACAAATATTTTAACAATTGCACATTATAATAAGTGATGTACTTATTTTGATAAGCCATGTTCAGTAAAAATGAAAAAAAAAAGTTCAGATAAAAGAAAAACAACTTGTGTATGTACTTTTAAAATGGCCACAGTTTCACTTAAAATTACGCAAAAACTCTTCACATTTTCAAAAGAATGAAATACATGACATTTAAATATCTAATTTTAAAGAAAATATTTCATTAAGAAACTCGTGGTGCTATAGCATGGCATACACCTTGTACTAGTTAGTTTTCTAATTAATTTGGTCTGGGATAGCTTTTCGGTCTTGCTCTCTTCCCACCTATCATCTATCGCCGTCCAAAGTACATTTGTTTTTTATCTCAATTTTTTCTGTTTTCTAATCGTATAATTGAAATATTACTTTAAGAATTGAATAGAAGGGTAAAACCTCGTTCAATATTGAAGACTTCTTATACGAACATTCAAAGTAATAGGCTGTAATTTAAGCACAAAGAGAGTACGTAGACGACTTTTCAATAAAAATGCCAAAGTTCACACTAACCATAGTGCGGAGTTTATCAAGGCACAGAGATTGAAGTACAATCCGTCCATGGCACTGAGCCATTGTATTTTGTTGAGGATACCAGGAAGAAGGATCAATACAAACTTGCCCTGGATACTTGCCTAATTCTTCAAATGAGTGAGCGTTATCCACAAAATGGAATTTTCATGCAGGATGGGGCATCCAGTTATAATTCAAAATGTATCATGTGTCATGTACAGCAGTTAAGCATCAAAGAATTGGACTGGCCAGAGAACAGCGCAGACATCCCATAGAAGAAATGTGGAGTACTATGAAGAATAAGATCCGTAATCCAACGATTACTACAATTCCCGAACTTAAACGGCGTCTGGAACGAGTAGGGACACATGTTGCGACTCTTGTTTAATTTGTGCCACGGACATTCAACAGCATGCTAAGATGCATTATGGCATTATTAAGGCAAAAGATGGTGTTACCAAGTACAGTCGACGCCAGTTATAGTGAACCCAGTGAACTCTCGGTTACAATGAACTTTAACAGTTCACATGTCCCATTTCACTCACTTTACAAATACGCACAAGAAGATACGGTTATAGTAAGATCCGAACTTAGGCCGTAGTAAACGTAGGTAATACGTTCTGGAAAAAACGCGCACGCGCGCGCGCGCACACACACACACACATACACACACATATATCGCCTTAATGCCATAAATTTCAATACTAGGCAGCTTGAAAAAATATCGTCGGTCATAGGTCGTTTTTATAGGTCTTTTTTGGCAATTTTTGTCGATTGTCATTTTTTACCTTTTACGTCATTTTAATGCATTTTCGCATATTGTATCGATTTTAATATTTTATTTTAATATTTAATTACTTGCTTCAAACAATATTTACGAGAAGCAAAAAAAGTTCACCACAGAATACTAGAGAAACCTATTCAATGTCTTCGCTTCCAATTCTAATGTCAGCCGTTGAGGGTACTATACATCTAAGCTTCCTGTGATGCCTACCAGCGATTTCGGGATGAATAAAGGCGGAGATTTTCTTGTAAAGAACGGTCCAAACCAAAGTTTGCGAGCCGAGTTCACTTTGACAAAAGGAAGCAGTTTTGATTCCATCAATAACATATCCAAGAGCATGAGTTGATTATCTGAAGTGGTTTTGATCAATTTTTTACATCATTTTTCTTTGATATCGGGCATTTTTTGGCAACGTTTTATGTCATCGAAATCCGTCCACTAGTCTTAAAATGTCCCAAGAAGTCTTACTAATGTCCTTGTGGCATTCAGCTTCACTACGGAAACAAAGGCCGTGTCCGAGAGGGCTTCAACAAGCCGCTGTGACACGCGACTGTTTGCTGTGCTTCAGTTTCAAGCAGTATATTACTTGAGATCCCGCGGGACAAAACGCGGGTGGTGTCCTACGCAGGCGACAGGAAGAGCGCGACTGCCACAGTCAAGTGCACGAAATAACCATAAAATTGCCAATTTTAAGGTCAAATAAAAAAATTAAAATTTTCAGTTCGCGCAGTTAAAGCATTTTGCTATATCTCTATATTAATAAAACTAATCACTGCCGAACAATGCTATTTAATTTTGACATCGGATATAGCGAACCTCTGATAAAGTGAACCAAAAATTAGTCCCCAGTTCACTATAAAAAGAGTCGACTGTATTAGATTGCACAAGTAATGTGAACATCAGTACATTAGTTAATGCCTTTTGAAATATTTGAATATAGGAAATTATGGAAATTCCAAATGCGCTGTCCACCCGGCGTACACGCTGAGAAGAAACTCCTGTTGAGGAGCTACAATGCCGCTAGCGGATGAGCGTTTCACACAAATTCGCCACGCACTGCGGTATGTCAAGGGCCCTGCTCTCACGTCATCAGCTTTCGAAGATTTGTTAACTTTGCCACAGCCA